GAGTTGGCAAATAATTCTCTGAAATGAATACAGGCTCAAAGAACAACACATAAACGTAACCATAACTGACTGTTGGATGAAAATCAGCATTTAGTTAAAGCAGTGAGCCATAAAATGAAAGATATTCGTTTAGAATGCATAAACAAAAACAAAAGAAAGAGTAGTTGCTACATGACTTGTGCTTCTTACCTTTGGTATATTTACAAACACCTACGACGGGTGGCATATGATAATTACTCTACTTCTAGCCGGCGGATGCAAATTTCCATCTTAAACACATCCGACTGACCATTAAAATAGTTAGGAACTGACATGAAGTCCTTGTCCGGAATTTCGAAACTCACTTTCTGAATCCTCTTCATCTCCCCCGACCCAAAAAGTCATAGTGTTACCTCCCCAAGAGTAGGAGAGATTATAGGAGCACAAGGTGCTATACAGTTCACAGTCACATACACTCCTTGTAGCACCTTTAAACACTGAACCACAACCAACGGACCATCTCTATATTCCTGAAGGACTGATATCTTCTCACGCGTACGTTGTAGGAAAAGCCACGCACGAAATAATTCCCTGTGTACTTGTGGTTAGCATCGATGGTTTCCAATGGGCAAAGTGCAAGCAGGGCATTTGTTCCTTAGTTTATCACAGCAGGCTATGTGTCCATTGTCACACTGAGATGCAAAACCCACAAAATTAGTTATTATAGCCAAAGTTGTATTGTAACTACGAGCATTCTGGAACATATCAAGGTATTAACACAATGTGGCAGACTGGCAGTCAACAAACTTGAGAAATCGGAATACAAGTCAATGAAATNAAAACCAAATCTGAGCTTATAGGACAATACATAATAACTTATACAAGTCGGTGTGTGTCAACATTGATTGGTTTGATATTAATGATGACAATATGATACTTGTAATTAAATGACTTGCTGCAATGTCCACCTTAGTGGACCAAATTTTACATAGCAGTTACAAATTACAATACTAGTTTTCAGTCCAATACAAATCATACAATACAAGTGTATTGCAGCAAACTTATAAGATTAGGTCTCTTGGTGTGCAATATATTCACAGGACTCGTTTGCTATTCGACCAAATGGAAAAGGTAAGTCTTTTTACAAATCAAGTTTGGTACATATATCAGTGAAGTTTTGTAATGAAATTGGGTGGTAAGGCACAAATATTTAGCTAATTAATCAAAGTTATTCTCATCAACAAAGGCTAATGTTCCTCGGCTCTCACATATGTGCTAGTAAACGACTAGAGATGCTTCATTTCCTTGGATTAACATTTTACTCAAAATCATCGATAAACATAAGCCATTTCAAAACTGTGAATCAACGCATTGGATTAGAGATATTAAGTAGTCGTGAAGTAGAAAGAGAAGACCTGAAAGATCGGAATCGTTAGTGCGTTGCAGCAAACGGGACAGTCGAGAAGATCTAATTCGAACATCAACCCCGACCGTACCTCCGTCGTCTTCACTCCGATTTACACTCGCCGTTGCTCCACCATTTTCGCCTTCTATGGAGGGAAGTCGTTGTCTCTTCCGGCGACTGGTCGACGCTTCTCCAGCGAGGGCTTGCTCGGCGTTCGTCACTTTCACCATGCCTATCTATCCGTCTGGATTTCGCTATGGGAACCCTAATTCCCTTTTTCTTTATTTTCCCGCGAATGTGAGGACTCTAAGATTACGATTCTGCCATTTAGCGTTATAAAAGTGTGAGGACTTTAATAAGATTACGATCGCTCACTAGTAACCATGGTGTAAGGACGTTTTATTCTACTTAATGAAACTTTGGTTTCCTAAAGAAAGAAAAAAAAAGAATCTAATAAACCTAAACATCATTGTCCAATCATCAATCACACTAATCTAATCTAACCAAAATCCATAAAAGAGACTACTCCTTCATTATCAAAGAAAGAACAAAAGCA